CACCAAAAAAAACATTACTCACATGTCCCTGAGATCCTAAACTTCACTCCCAAGCTCCACACTTTGACCCCCACTTCGCCTTCGCTTGGGGGCGCCCTTACATCGAGAGACTCCACATGGTAGTTTCCCAAAACAGGGGAACCCAATGTAGACCCCCAAATATGATATTCCTTCTTATTGGGACCCCCAAACCCTAAACCCTAAATCCTAAACCCTAAACCCTAAATCCTGAACCTCCTGAAGTTGAGACCCTGAGGAGCTCCAATTAGAAGTAGCGCAGAAAGAAGCCCGCGCTGCGGATGCGGAAGCAAGAGCTGAGGTCGGCAGCCAAAGTTTCAGGTTTGGGGTTCTTTTGTGGTTTGGAGTTTAGGGCTTGGGATCTTGGATTTAGATTCATTTATTTATTCTTCTTCTTGTTTTTTTTGGTGGTTTGTGAGTGTAGGTTTTAGGTCTGAGGTCGGTGCGATGATGGGTGTTGCGTTTCGTTGGCCATGTTTTCGTGTTTATGGGTGAGGATTCTGTCTGGGGTTGGGGTTCCTAGGGGCTGAGGATTGAGGGTGGATGACAAGTTAAGCATTTGGCGGTTGCCGTGGGGGACAGTGGCGAGTACATGGCCAGTAATGTATGGAGACTAAACAGTGAGTTGTATTATTTTCTTGCAAGAATAGACCCACCCCTCAGTGATGGCAAAGCACCAGATGTTTTGGGTGACATGCTCTGAAAGAAATCAAAGTGAGGGAAGAAGAGATAAGAGGAGGGCACAGATGACATGGGGCTTGTACAGTGATAACATGCATCTTTTGGCTTTGGAGTTTTTGGGCAAGCGGTGGTCCTCAGCATCTTTCCTTGGACAAGTGTGTTGATTATCAACACGTACGAGCAGTGGCGTAAGTATGCAACCATATATGTAGCATGGGCATCAGCCACAATTCAGCATTGCTTTTTTTTTTTGTGGGCGCTCATAATGAGGATCATATCTTAGCATGAAAGCAGAGGAGCATAAATCCAGCACAACAAAACAACGTTGCTCACACGACACATCGCCTTTCTTAGGGTATTCAGGGGCCCTCAAGGGTTCATGGAGGGTACATACCAGGTATATGGAGACCCCGGGGGTTAAGGGGCAACTTGGTCTTTCCTGCCTTTTTTTGCCAGGTGCTTTCGCAGATGCAAGACAAGCTCCAGCGGACCATGCCCGATATGGTGCCTTGAATGCACAGGACATGCATACAACAACTCTTATGGGGTCAAAAGTGTTGGGAGAGCATGATCAAATTCGGGGTGGATGAGGGGGTTAAGTAAGCCGGGGAAGTCGTGGTCATGCTGGGCTCATCGGCACCGCGCCTGCATGCAGGCTTTTCCTTTGAGAAGGATACTGCTCTCTACTCCCGTGCCAAGTATGAGCACTGAGGTCAAGTCGATCGCTGAAAGCATCATGTTCTGCCGTGGTGGCCGACTCAGCTTCCCAGACACGTGAGGGTTTCCAAAACAACAGCTCCTGGGGTACCCATAATATAGGGTTTCGGGTTTAGGGTTATAACATTGGGGTTATATTGGGATAATGGAAAAGAAAATGGAAACCACTATTAGGAAATATAGTCTATAGAGTATTTTGGAGTCTATCTCGGGGTCCTTCTTTCTGGAAACTACCCTAGGAAGCAGCGGGGCAGTGTTCGTGATGGAGTTTCAATGGCAGGTCCACGAGACAAAGTGCTGCTGGACTCAGCGACAGGTGGGGGATTGTCAAAATTATGGCCTTTTTTTGGGTCCCTATTATAATATGGGGCCTAATACGGGGCCTAATTTAGGGGACCCAAAAAGGGACCATCATTTTGACAACTACCCATATATGCCCTATTATACTATAGTAGTTTCCATTTCCTTTTCCATTATTCCCTATATAACCCCATTATATACCTATAAAAACCCATGATAATTTTGACAATCCCCCAGGTGGTCTGCCTGGCTTTCGCGGGGTGAGAGCCAAGCTCGAGCTGGAGGACTTTATGGGATCCCTTAAAAGGGGGATATAGGGATTATATAGGGGTATATAGGGGTATATAGGGATTATGTAGGGTTATATAGGGGTATATAGGGGTGTATAGAGTTTAGGGTTTAGGGGTTTAGGGGCCTCAGAGAGCCGAAAGCCTTCTAAAAGGATTACTTAGGGATATTGCCTCCCCAATAATGGAGAATGAAATGGAAAAGAAACGTGGAAGATGAAATGGAAGCTGAGGTTACATAGGGGGTTCTATGGCTAAAAGGGTTTTATAGGGTTGACATAGCTAAAAAGGGTTAAATAGGTGCTTATATAGCTAAAAAGGTTAGACTATGATATAACATAACGTTTTATAATATATCTGAATATACCACAATATACCATACGATACCATAATATACTATAATATACCATAATATACCATAATATACCATAGTATACCATATTATACCATAATATATGATAATATACGATAGTCTACCATAATACGCTAAACGGATTGGCTTGTTTCAGCCAGGACTCCCCAGGCTCCATGAAATCGAGCTCCCCAATTCCTCTTGTCGATGCGGAGGCAGGAACAACCGAGGGTTTAGGGTTGAGCGTTTAAGGTTAAGGGTTTAGGATTTAGGATTTTGGATTTAGGCTTTAGGGTTTAGGGTTAGGTTTGGAGTTTAGGGTTTCTCATGCTTACTAATCTTACTAGGGACTAGGGGTACACTTCTTCATAGCAGCCCTAGTATGATCCCCACTTTCACCCATGCCTCATTGCCAACTAAGCGTGCGTAAGATGATGGCCAGGACATGGAAGGTGATGGTGCCCCGAAGGGTCCCGCTCCGGATGCTGCCGCGACTTCTGAGCTTTTGAAGTGCGGCTCCACAGTTCTGATGGAAATTTGCAATGTCGTGGTACATAGCGGTTACATAGGGATACTGCAACAGAAAATGGAAACTCCTATTTCGGGTTGAGGATTTCAAGTTTGGGGTTATAGGGAAAGTTGAGAACTAAGGGTCTGTCCTTTGCATGGAAAACCCATGACAGATGGCTGCAAGTGGTAGTTTTCCAAAATAAGGGGACCCCAATCTAGTCCCCAAGTACTATGACCGTTATTAAGGAGACCTCCGAAAAAATGCCACCTAATTTTGAGAAACCCTAAACCCTACATAGCCCCTATATAACCCCCATATATGGTGCAGCCAAAACCCCTTTAAAGGTACACCTAATTTTGGGAAACCCTAAACCCTAAACCCTATAGAACCCTTATATAATCCCTATATAACACATATACATGTGTGTGTATGCATATATGTATACATATATGTATACATATATATATATATTTGTTGCATATATCCCCTTTAAAGGTACCCCTAACTTTGAGAACCCCGTCCCACGAGTTCTTCCCTGAGGTTCTACGGGCAGGACGATGGTACACGCCGGGGGCTAAGCATCCTTACAAGGGCAGCTGCGAGGGTCTAGGGTGTAGGGTTTTGGGGTATGGGGTAAGGGATACAGGGTTTCGGACGCGGTCAGAGTATACGCCTGATTACATGGTTTAGGGTATAGGGTGCGGTTTTGGGGCTTGAGGTTTCCCAGACGCATGTGGTCAGGAAGGTGAGGTAGATGCCGCTGAGGCTGAAGCTTGGCAAGTCTTTCAAAACGTAGGCAGAAGGACTGCATTCATGCTCATCATAGGGGTGGGTTCAGCGACCTTGGGGACATAATCACCCTAAACCTTAAACGCTGTAACATGGAGGTTCAAAAGATTATAGGGGTCAACTTACTGGATAATGTGCCCAAGAAGGCGTGCTTGACTAAATCAAGTTGCAAACAAGACTACAGCCACTGTGCGGCAGGACTTGTGCGGCAGCAGTTTTATGGTGATATAAGGTCCCAAGCAAGAGTAAGATCATATTTGTTCTGACCTCTACCAGCCCTTAACCCTAAGCCCTAAACTTCCCTGTGAGCATAAACTGCTCACATGACCGCGCGATGGAAGCGAACTCCCATGGCCAGAGGAAGTTCTCAGCAGCTTGGGAGACGTGATGATCTGCTTTCCTGAGAATCTGCCTTTGGATTATGTAGGTTCCTATGTGGCCTAGAGTCCTAGAGTCTAGACAGGACTTTCTTAAGGTTGTGCGGGTTCTTGTGGGGTTAGATGGTGTGTTCTGCAAACTGGGCATCACTTTTGGCCTTGAGAAGCCTATATTCAGGCTTCGGATTCTGAAGTCTGTCATTCTTGAATGCTATCAGTTTTCCTTGTACGAGGCGGAAATCACTGGGCACGAAGATGCAGGCAACTTGGCAGCATGGGCTGGAAGCTACCATCTTGTGAAAGGCATGAAAATCAGGGCCTTCAACGATCCTCAACGATAGCCAGTACATCAAGTTTCGGCCGAATGGTGGATGACATTCCTGCGGACGTCTGTAGTTCTGTACCTTCCCGAGGTTGTCACAACAACCACAATAGAAACACCATGACTTCTTCCTAAGAAGTACGACAACTATAACCCCAATATACTATAGTAGTTTCCATTCTATTTTCCATTATCCCAATATAACGCCCAATATAGCCCCAATATAATCCATAATAATCCCAGACCAACTGAGCTTCAGGTGGTCACGTGGAGTATTGCGTGAAGGTCACACACTGCAGCGGAATTTCTTGGACAACCTGGCGACGGTTCTCCGATTTCCACCATGCCCATGAGGCCTTGGGTGTTTCTAAAACAAGGAACCCCTGTTAAATGGTGTTTCTAAAAGAAGAACCCCTTGTTAAATTCAGGGGTGTAAAGAAGACTTGGTTTCGAAAGAGTCCCGCCTGCGCTTCAGGAGCTGAGCGCCGCAGTGGATGCCAGAGACTTGCCCCCTGGCCCCGAGAGATCTTGGATTCCTGCCCTGGCGCAGTCGCTGTCTGCAGATTTCTGCGAACAGAGAGGACAGGAACTGAACACTTATCTGCAGCGGCTGCTGGCCCGGAGTACGATCCCTTCCCCAGTTCAAAAGCTGCTAGGCCTTCGTTGCCCTGAGCCTCCGGGGAGCCTACGGGTAGTCAAAAAGAGTGGAAACCTGGAGTTGGAGGTGAAGCCAACAGAGATGCTGACTTTTCCTGTAGATGGTTACATTATTGAAATTTTAAATTTGGATTCTGGTAGTAAGTACCGGATGACACGAGATGTTGGACCATCTGGCCAGCTCCCTCAGAAGGCCCAGGTAGGCCACCTGGACACTGGACGACATGTCTTTGCGGTTGCGGCGTACAATTCTGCGGGCTGCTCTGCGCAAGTCTCCATAACCGTGGACCCTAGCCTGGCACTGTCTGCAAGAAGCAGCACACAGACGGCGGCTTTGCCACAGTTGCCACAGTTACCCTATGGTATGATACCTGCAGCTCAAGGCAAGGCAAGGAGCTATCCCTGCGCAAATGCCAATCGACAGGTTTCTCAACGAATGCCTGAGCAGGCGCCAGGCCCTCCAGCAGCCAGAAGCTTGCCTCTAGGGGTATCGCCAGTTCCACATGGCTCTCGCCCCTGGCCAAAGGGGCCCAGCATGCATCCAGCGATCCAAGCTGGAGCTCCGGAACAGATGGAGTCAGTGAGGCCCGGGTCGAAGCTGCTTCCTGCAGGGGTCTTCTTTGCCATGGCAGGGTACGGGGTGTACTTGTAGCTTTTCGCACCGGGGGGGGGCACCTGGGATTCTCAAGTCTTTGTGGCATGCTCTTCAAAGCTAACAGGACCTACCGCTGCATCCCCCTATAGTTGTCCATTTTCTTTTCCATTATCCCTATATCCCCATTATACATACCATTACATATATATATATACACACCCTACTATATTATAGTAGTTTCCATTTTCTCTTCCATTATCCCCATATCCCCATATAACCCAAATATATAAAAATGCAAGTAAATATATACACACCACATTATCTTGTAGCAGTATCCATTTTTTGTCCATTATCTTCTAATGTCTCCAGGCGCGATAGCCGGATCTTGGCAGAGACCAAGCGGTTCTGCGACCCCAGCACGTTGAAAGATGCTCGGCTAAAGCTTGTGATGCTACCACAGGGTTATATGGGGGAGAATGGAAAAATGGAAACTACTCTAATGGAAAAGAAAATGATCTATAGCCCAGCACGTGGGTGGTTGCCACACTCAGGGTTGCATTTTTACAGCCCCGATGTGAAGGTTGTCATCCAACAGAGTTGGCATGCCTTAGGGTTCCTGCTGGGCACTATTAGTTTTGACAACCACATGGGGACGAGTTTGTTGGTCCCCCCTCAGAGGTTTTCCCGGATGATGCTGGGCGACCCTTTCCCTTATGAAACTCTCACATGAAGCAATGCATGAGCCCAAACCCTAGCTCCTAAACTCTCACTTGGAGAAAAGGTCCGATAAACACAAACTCTCACATGAAGCAATGCCTGAGCTGAGCAAAGAGGTCCATCATGCAAAAAGCCCCGACCTGGAAGAAGACGAAGATCTGCTCTGCGTCGTCTGCCTGGCCTTGCCGAGCCTCAACCATGTTATGCAGCTTTTCATGGAGGGTTTCAAAACTACGCACCGCTGGCTTAGAGTCCTATAATAAGGTTCTTGCTTTTGAGAGATCCAGCTGCTCCAGCTTAGGAAGTCTCATGCATTTGTTCCCTGCGGTCACCGTTCCTCGGAAGGCGGTTGGAGCCATGGGTACATAAGGGTTATGCGGCGCATGAGGTGGGATTACACTTGTTCGGGTTCAGCTGAAGATGTCTGTGGGATTTCATAGCGGCCCTAAACAGCTTGGATTACACAGTTTTTGCTGGCGGTACCTGATGCAGTGTAGGGGGATCATCTGCTCACTGAGGCTGTGTCTGCGCCACGTGCGCAAAGGAGCTGTGCCCGGACGGCAAGGGAACTTGTCCGGTTTGTCGAGCCGAGCTTTGACTGCACATACATCTGAAAGTGTGTGGGCCTTTGCAGCAGTCCCACAGCTTATGGCAATACAAGCCCAAATTCTAAGCTTAATGCTCTGCATGGTCATCCTGCTTTTCGAAGGGCCTCAAGGCCTGCAACAAGGAGCACTGGCCATCTTAAATCGGGTAGGTTCCAGCATTTTACCATCTCGAAGAAAATCGATAATTGGGTCTCATTGCAGTCCTTGTTCTGAGGCTCCCACCACTTCAACCCATCCCAGATTGTTGCCGTTGACCTGCAAGGAAGCTCAGCACATCATCCACATCTTCACTTGAGCTGGCGCAAGCATGGCTTTCTTACCCCACGCTGTACAGGGGAGTGTAAAGCCTCTTGAGTAGACATCCCTGCTGCGCAGCGCCTCCGCAAAGACTTGTGTGAGGGTGCGTGAAGGGAATCCTACTTGTCCCGTGTAGATTCCCGGGGCCCCGAAACAGGGGAGAGCTCTAAGAACCCTTGGTTCCCTTACAATGTCTTTTGGAAGTGTCCTCCTACTTGGGGTCCCCTGGGAATCTACCCGATTGTCCGACACCCTCAGCTTGTAGGAGCTTTTGGGGCGTTGTGCTTTTGCGAGAAAAGATGCTATGCTCTGAGTTGCCCTGGGGGTTTTCTCAACGCAGCTCCTCATGATTTATGAGAAGCCCAGGAACACAATTGCGATTGTCCCTTTCTACTTCGCAACGCATCCTCTGCTGTTCAGCGTGCCCATATAGGGTTCATATTCCTGACATTCCGCCATGAAACCCTCAAATCCCAAACCCTAAGCAGCTAGGCCCTAAATCCTAAGCCCTGCACAGCCCTTCTTGGTCCCTCAAACAGTGGCCCATCATTGTTCATCCCAGGCCCGGCCGAGAACTACAGAGCACATTCCACGGAGTCCCGACCTCCAACGGTCCTGCTGGACATGCTTTGGGACTTAGGATTGAAGGTTTTTAGGGTTTAGAGCTATGGATTTAAGGTTGATTCAGGTTTTTTGCTTTTGATGGATGTAGGGTTTAGGTTTTTTGCTTAGGATTCTGTTTTTGGGTTACCATTTTTTGGTCCCTAAGATTGGCCCCGGATCTAGGGCTGGCCGGGGTCTCTCGGTCCTTTACTTTTCTGGACCCTTGGTCCCTTGGTCTCTTGGTCCTTTTTTCTTTGGACCTCCTGAAAAAGAGGTATATATTCCAGCATGTGGAGGTCTCCAATGGCTAGCAGTAGTGCCGGTTGAGTGCTTGAAAGGCTACGTATACGGCAAAATTACAGCATCTATGCAGCTTGGCAAAACGTCCACCACGCAAGAATACGATCTCTGTTCAGATAAAGCTCCATACAAAAGGACAATAAGCTTGAGAAACACTCAAAGCCCTGCACGATTTTCTTAGGGCCTTGTACACGTCGAATCAAAATCATTGAAGGCCTTCAGCAGACTGAGACTTATTGGTATACTTGAAGCCCCACCCCGCAAGTCTAACTTCTTACACCATATCCCCAACCCTAAACTGGGATATATGGGGTAATATTTGGGTAATGTTGGGGTAATGGAAAATAAGATGGAAACTACTATAGTATATGGGGGTAGAATTCCCAAAGTCCTCAAACCAAACTCTATAGCTAAACCTGCCACCTTGCTTGGGAGCATGCTGCAAAAACGGAAGTTTAAAGCACGAGGAAAAGCCCGACCTCAACTCGCAAACCCTCAACCCCCCTTCTCCAAAAATTGGATCAGGAAAAAATCCTTGACCCTTCACCCTAAATGGTAGTTTTCAATTTTCTGTTCAACAGCCAGTAAGAAGAGCCCAGCCAGGCTGCCTCGCGACTGAGTACCGTCTTGAAGCGTGCCGGGCGCCTTAGGTTTGCTCTTCAGGAACTTGCCTTGTTTAGGGTTTAGGGTTTAGGGTTTAGGGTTACTTAGAGGGTCAGGGGGACTTAGTAAGTAGGTTAATAATCCCTATAACCCATCTAGTAACCCTAGTTATCCCCATTATTAACACAGTTACTGAGTCCCCCTGACCCTCCAAGTAAGTTGCTATAATAAGGACACCCTACTTTTTACTTTAGACCCATCTTTTGGTAACTTAATTTTTTGGTTCCACTGGTTTTCTAGGGGTGTCGAGGGTTTGGAGTGGTTTGGGGTTCAGGGTAGGGTTCTGGGTTGTCATGCCGGTTTACAGGGTTATTCTGCGTAACCTGGTTTTGTCCATTTTTGACCCTCATGATCATGAGGGTCAGTTGCAATTGGCGGCCAGCCCGTCTGAGTGCATCCTCAGCTTGACCCTAAACCCCGCATACATACTGAGCAGTCTAGAGGGGATGAAAGCTAGCTCATGACTCTCGTGGACCCATGAAGCCACTAATGCAAAAGATTGCTTATGCAAGGAGTTCCTTGCGGCACGGATGAAGAACATTTTGCACACCTGCAAGTGAAGAGGTTCACGGGAGTTTTGGTAGTTCGTTTTGTCTTTTGTTTGCAGCTGATGTCACGTTCGGCTTGGTCAGGGACATCTACACCTGCAGCAATGGGTCTTTGAGGGTGTAGGGCACGTAGAAGGGCCTGCTCCACGTCTACGATCCAGCTAAAGCCTGGTATGACCTTTGAATTGGTAGTTCCTCAAAATGGGGGGACCCCAATATAGACCCTAATACACTATAATCCTTATTATGGGGACCCCCCAAAAAGGTACCCCTAATTTTGGTAAACCCCCAATTAAGTTTTCAACAGCCCTGGAGAGGTAGGCCAAATGGCTCAGGCCGTCGCAGGTGGACCGAAGAAGTGAGCTGATTGAACCGCTTCCTCTTGCGGGAGGCCGCTGCTGTTGATCCATAAGAACACTAAACTCCTTAAATGGGGGTTATATAGGGGATTGTATAGGGGGGTATTATAGGGCTTATTAAGGGGGATACTAGGAGTTTAGACAATGGCTCACATGTTGTGTCGAGAGTCATGCGTGCATCCATTGCTGGTGTTGGAATGATTATGCTTAGCTTCGCAGACCGTTCCTAGGGCATTTTCTCTTGTTCCTCCTGCATTTGGCGAAAACGAGTGTACCGCTTGCAACAAGGTATCGGGAAGTGCAGCAAGATCTTCAGCGCAGAGTCACGCAGGGAAGTGACTCTCCTGGGTCATGCTGCAGGGTGACCAGCATTTTCTGACAGCCAAATTTGCAATTTGAGCTTCGGAGAAATGCACTTTGCCAGTGATGTTTGCCAGTACATGGCGTGTATGAGTCAGAGCTGCAGGACGCAGCCTATGCAAGATAGTTGCCGTACAGCAGCAACATTGAATGCCGATGCATGATGCTTCTATGCCCCTGCTAAAGCGAGGATGAACTCTCAAGTAGCTGGATGCCTCGATCAAATTATTCCAGGCGAGGCACAGTTGGAATTGGCTGGTTAGGGAGGTGGGCGAAGGCTGTGAGGACAAATTGGTGCAGTCTCTTGTGCGCGCTGTTGCTTGCTGTGCTGGTCAAATTCTGGGCCTGGTGCTGCACAATCTTGAGCACCTCCTTGGTGGCATGCGGCCGTGGTGCTTAAATACGAGTTTGCTTGCAGCAAGACTGAAGCCAAATTGCTGTAACTCAGACTGCTGCCGGACTTATAAATATTCGTCTGCTTCTGAGCCAACAGCCCAGCAAATCTGACACTTTCAGACGCTAATGGTGCCTTCTAGGGGGCATGATGCTGTGCTGACCTGATGGATCAGCCGGAGCCTAACGTCGGGTGTTTACTTGAGGGCTAAGTAAGGAGCAAATGAGGCCAAATCAGGATACTCCGTTTTTACAGTTCGTGTTTGCCAGACTCCCCCATCCGTGCCGAAGACTGTTCCTCGGTGATGTCATGAGTGATTCCAAAAAGCAAGCCACTTTCACTGCTGTTCGCTGACGTGGACGATAAATTCGCACCATGTCCACCGACAGAGCCGTTTGAGCGTTTGCTTACTGGCGCTTCGGAGGGAGTACGGGAATATAGTTCTTATATAATCCCTACATTCTATTCCCACATTTCCTACTAAGCACCAGTAAGTTTGTTGCCGGATTTTGATGAACTTCCGCAACTTGCAATTCCGACCAAGGCTAAACCCTAAAACCGTAAACCCTAAACCTTAAACCGTAAACCCTGAACCCTAAACCTTAAACCCTAAAGCCCTAAACCAAGGCTTTTGACTGTGATCCCTGCCTGCTGATGAGGTTAAAGCGATTTAACCAGTGGCTGAAGGACCACTCCGCCAAGCAGGCCAGGTTCGTCATAATTCCTTTAAAGGGAGCTATATAAAGGACTATATAGGGGAGCTATGATATAAGGGATAAGATATGGGGAGTACCCTAGGGGTTCTAAACGGGGATACTCATGACTTTTTTGGCTGAATTCTTCGGAGCCCTCAACTCCAAATCACAAACTCGAAGATACTACACAGTGGAACTACTAATGGGGCTTCCCAAAACGAGGGGGGGGGATGACAGTTTCTAGAGCCCCCGACATCAGGATTCGCGGGTACATGAGGTTTACCTCTAAACCCCGCGGATGCACAACTGTCCGGCTTGCTTAGGGTTGGGCCCCCACCCACTAA